TTATCTTCTCTTCATTGAGAGAAAGACTAAGAGATGAATGTTCCTAATGTAACCTGTTGCAGGGTAGGTTTTTTGCTAGTTCATCTTGTGAGTTTGCTATTCTTTAGGAGCCTTGATTTTGTGGGTCCTCCTGATTACCATTCCCACTGTATGAGCCCATGTCTTTTAAGGTCACACACTAGCAAAAGTACTAACTTTTAGGAGTTTACTTCTTTCCGGTCAGTTTTTGATCAACTTTCTTGCCATTTCACTTTTTTTCTTAAAATTCATTTTTAGTGTTTTATTCAGAGTTTAGAGATATTTTGAGGTTTTTCTTATAATAAAGCCTTATTGGTTAGAGAGACTTTCCGCACATTTTAGTGGGCATAGCTGCAGGAAGTTGTAGGCAGGGAGGCTGGAGTAGAGTCTGAGTTTCTAGGAACAAAAATGATTTTTACTGAGATACTAGCTGTAAATGTAATTACTTCAAAGTCAGTTGTTGCCATTCACTTACATGAGGCCCTTTGAAAATCTGGCACATTTTTAGGTTCTTTGTTAATGGTGGTCCAAAGGGGCCTGTAAGCCCAGGGGTTGATTTTGTTAACAGAAGGGACTGTGCTGCAGCAGACTGGTAGATTTTTCTCTATTTAAATATTTTTTTTCAGCTTTAATTGAGTTTATTGGTACTATTTAAATTTTTAAAAAATTATTTATTATTACTGTTACTGTTATTATTATATTTTATGCAGATTTGCAGTACATAATGATTACTTACATTCTTTATGGGGAGTTGCCACGTGCACACAATGCATCTTTTGTTTTTTCTATCCCCTTTCCCTCTCCTACATCCTGCCCTCCTTCCATCTCTTTGTCCCTCTCCCTTTTGCAAAAGATCTATGTTTCCTTAGGGTGACTTTGAAAATGTTGCAGGCACATGACACCTCTCTCTTTAAAACTCAAAACCCTGGCTTTGTAACCGCTCTAAAGTTTGAGTTTGAGAAGTCCGAAGTGGCAAGAATATGGACATTTTCAGTGCTATTTTGAAGCCGGTACCATGAGAAGAAGTCTGGAGGAAAGCAAAGACTACATTTTTAAGTGCTACATTCTTGCTCTTCATCCCTTTATGCCTGACTGTCTCCTTCTTGACACTTATTTTAAAAACCTCCTCTCTCCTCTTAGCGAAAACCCACGCCATATCCCCGGGTCTGTTGTGGAAGAACAGACTGGAAGACATCTGCCTCTTGCCTTATTTTTTTAAATTCCTCTAAATGATCCAGCCAAGTCTCCACACCAGAGCTCCCGCTCCCAGAACAAACCAAATGGCGGCTGTTGGCAGCATATTGACAGCTTGTTAATGAAGGAATCCTTGACAGTGTGACAACCTGCCCAGGCTGCCTCCGGAAGCCAAATCCGCCCCCACACAAACCTCAAGTAATTAACAGGTGGGGAAAAATAGCAACTAACTGCTGCTGAGGGGAGAAGAATACTCAACCAAATGAATTATGTATATTAAAATATTCAATTTTACAGCCCCTTTCCTAGTTTTTGCTATCGAGCTCTACTGAAAAGTGTTTTGACTTTGGAGCCGGATCAGCCTGGATTTCCATCCCAGTCTGGCCACCCAGCCGCTGTGTGACTCTGGGACAGTGTCCTCGCTGAACCTCACTTTGTGATGAGTAATTGGGTCAGACGATGCTTGTGAAGGCATAAACATAGATGTCACATATTACTGTTCAATTGTTAAAATATCTTTTATGGTGACGGATTTGACAGATTGTTTTTGTATTTCTGTGAAGCATTTATTTATTTATTTATTTATTTATTTATTTATTTATTTATTTATTTATTTATTGTGAGGGTGTCTTTCCTTTTTTCCATGCATTGGGTTTTAAATTGTTGTGTCTTCCTGGTGAATCGGGGCTTTCATCGTCAAAAAGTGACCCCACCATTGTATCTGTAGTCACATTTTTTGTCTTAAAAGTAGTTTTGTGGTGTTATTTTATGTGTTGATAGCTTAGTATACATATATATTCTGTTTATATACAGTCTGTTTATTTTAGAAAATTTCTGTACTCCCAGGTTTCATGTGGTAGAAGTGAAAGATGAGAGGTGTAGATGTGACTGTCTTAGGTTGGCTGTTTCCCAGCTAAGGCATCCACACTGATCTCCTTGCCAACCGCCTCCCTGGATCTGCAAACCCAAAATATATTCACGTGTATTCTAATAGAAGACGCCTCTAGGAGCTGCATGTGCTGGGTCCACTCACACCAATCTGAACATTTCCCTCCCAGCTCTGGTCTACACAGGGAAAGACATGGAGGAAATTTCTCAAAACTTAAGTCATTAGCTCTTGATGTATTCCCAAGGGATAAACTTAATTTAGAACACTCAAGATGATTTAAAATATTTGTTTTTAAATTTTCTTGTGGTCTTGGATTCCTTTCTAAATGTGATAAAATTAAGGATACTTCTCAGGCAAAAGTGTAAAAATAAGATAAAAATTTTTTTCATCCTATGTACCTAAAGGTACAAAAGCTCCAAGCAAAGAGGCTTTTATTTAAATACGTATTTTAAAAACATTAGAGAGTAAAAGCATGTATGACACCTCTAGAGAAATTCAAATGTATTTATCAGAATGCAGACCATGTACTGCTGGCAGTTTGCTGCCTGTTCTGCTCTAAGGTGGGATGGTGTTTGCCACTGAGACCATGGCTCTGAGCTGGATGGCCTGTGTGTCCTGGGGACTTGAACTGAGGACTATGTGGAAAAGTCTAGGCCCTGAGCCCACAGAGTTCCAACTGGAACATCCAGGAACATCACCAAGGGAGTCCTTTATAGCCCAGGGCATGGCTCAGGATTTGAAAGAAAATCCAAGGAGAAGATATTACAAAACCCTGAAGAACCTAACCATTAGAGATGGAACATTTAGATCTGAGAAAGTAAAAGTAATAAAATCAGCTGAAATGTACATACATGTACAAAGTTTTAAAAAGGGATAGAACCCTAAGAATGTAGGTAATGGGAGGTGACAGGCAAACGTTTTAGTTTTAGAAATTAAAAAAAAAAGTTGCTATAGCTGTGGAAGACTCTTAAAAGATACTTTAAACAATAGTCTAGACATGACTAAGTACTGGATAAGTAAAATAGAAAAATTATCTCAGAAAATCATCTAGAATATAACAGGGAGAGGTAAAAAGGTGGGAACTATGAGAGAGAAGTTGCAGAATGGAGGAAAGAATATGAAATTTCATGCTACACTGCAATGAAAGTACAATATTCATGCATCAAGAGAAATTTTTGAACGTTAACAGGCAAAAAAGATATATTATCAAAAATGTCACTGTCAAACAAAAAGGCAGACTCTCAACATCAGTAATAGAGTCCAGGAAATAAAAAAGAAGACAAAAATATAAAACATATACCACCAAGGGACTGAGGCAAAATTTTACGACTATATATCTCACTAATGTAAACTGTGCAAAAAACAAAATAAAAGAAAAAACTCAGCAACCACAGGAAATATGTTACTGTGTCGAGTTTATAATGTCTGTTGAAGTTAAAAGAAACTTAATTTTATCTTAATATTTCTGTAGTATTCACATTTCTTGCAATAAACATGATTTACTTATGCAATAAAAATATATATTAAAAACAAATCTGGGTTGAATATATATGAAGGCCATGGCTGTGTTCGTTCAAATTAAGCCCATTATTTAAGGCTCATTTGTCCATAAGATCATCCTTCCTTTTATACATTCTCTTGTTCAGGGAAGATTCAGTCGCTAGACACAGAAAGTACAGTGTCTAGGGCCCAAGATAACTTACAGGGGCCCATGAAAATACTTGTATTTTAAATGCTGTTAAAATTCAAGAGAAAAAAATCAGTGGAATAATAATAATGAGTTCACCCTGGATTACATTGCTTTTATACCAATAGAATGGTAAAATATTATTATATATAAATATATAATATATTTTTAATAGAGGAAGAAATCCATCAGGGTGTAAGTGAAAATGGCCCATGAAATTATCAAAGCAGTCTTGCACCTCTGACTTCCTGTTTTAATTTTTTTTCCCCTCAAAAGCAGAGCCTGAGACAAGGCCCTACAGGCCTTTTACTTGGAGGTGATACAGTAGTAAGCAGAAGTGAGGGTGTAAAGAAGGAGCCATGAAGAGAGGAAAAGCTAGGTATAGCCAATGGAGCTCAAGGTCAATGTGCTCAAGGTCGTTGTTGTGTGAAACGTGTTTCAGGTTCACCTAGGACCTCCATTCCTAAAGATATGCAGAATATTGATTTCCATAGTGGTTGCAAATAAAGTGTTTGTAAATGGGGAGGCGAGGAGGGGGTGAAGGGAGGGCAGGGACAAGGGGAAAAATTGAGAACCAAGACCTGTCATATTAAGATACAAGATCCCAGTAATGAATGTAACTGTACTATATCCCTAAAATGTACCAATAAACTCAATAAAAAGAAAAAAAAAGATATGCAGAATACCTCTCTTAGTATTACTCAGGGGAAAGATAGATGGGATGTTTATCTAATGACTGCTCTTCTCCATTTGTTGAGCACTGCTCCTAGAGACTGCTAACTTCCTCCTTCAGGGCTTGCAGAAGTGCTGAGTGTCTCCTGGGCACTGCAGTGGGCCCTGAAGCAGAAAGCACCTGCTCAAGGTGATGTGCTGTTAGTGTGAGAGTGAGGTTGCATGGCTAGTATCAAATGGGAGCTAAAACTGGAGTGGAGCCAAAGTAGTGTGACTCAGGACACCTAAAGAGCCCAATACAATTCCCATGGAATCAATCCTACGTTACCTTCTTGCTCTCATACTATTTTATTAGTATGTGTGTAAGAGCTCCTTTTGCATATTCAGCCATATTTTGCATATCTCATAATCTGACCCATGCTTATTCTGCAGAACCTTGCTTGTAGTAGGTACTTAATATTCATTGTTGATTTAATTTAGCTGTGAGTTTCCTGGAGTAGGACTTAAGAGAAGTGAAGTGCTTTCCTCACTCTGTTACAGACATACAACATGAAGTTGGGCCACCCTTTAACTGACTATGGATCTTACAACTATATCTGCAAAGTGGAGGAGCTTGAACAGTCTTCTGTAAGCTTTTCTGGATGTGCTGTTGATCGATCCCACCCACCTGGCTCATTCAGCATGAGAGAGGTACATCCAATTCCAGGGCCCAGTGCTTGTTATGGGGGTTACAGAGATAAATGCTGCACAACCATGCTGTGCATGGGTGATGCAGCTCTTCAGGGGGACAGGAAGAACTACTGCACAGTGTGACAGAGGTAAGCACAAACAGCTCGGGACACGCAGAGTGGCACTTTTAACCAAAACCTTGTGTGAGTTAGGAGAATATCTTGCAGAGATGACTGCTGAGGTGATTCTCTTTTTTTATATTAAGTTTATTGGTACATTTTAGGTATACAGTACAGTTACATTCATTATTGGGATCTTGTACCTTTACATGACAGGTCTTGGTTCTCACTTTTTCCCCTTATCCCTGCCCTACCTTCACCCGCTCCACCCTTCCCTATTTACAAAGACTTTGTTTCTATTTTTTTCTTTTCTCATATTTTTTTCCTTTCCCCTATCTCTCCCACTTCTCCTACTCCTTTAGATCTTTTCTCCCTATGTCCATTATCAAATTATACATAGTTGCTCTGGTATAAAGCTAAAAGTGTAAATAAGGATCAGAATGTATAATTGCTGAGGTGATTCTTAAAGGATGACTAACAAATGAGGGGAGGAATATGGAAAGGATACTCTTGCATAAAGCTTATCCCAAAAAGGGAGACATCTTGAGACTGAGATGGCCAAAGACAGAAAAGAGATATTCTTGAGGCCACCTGACTTTTGTGTCATTTCTATTCTAGTGGTTCATTTTGTCTTTCTTTTTTTCTGGCCCTGAACATTTATTGAACAAAGAACATGGAAAATGTATTCACTGAAGCTCTGCACACATGGAAGTGGCCCTCTGGAAAGAAAGAATCTTTTCTGTCCATGTGAGCTTGAGTCCATTGAAACCCAAAGGGAAGGCACAGGGCTGGTGATGCCATCCGTCAGAAGACGTGGTGGGTTCCTGGTGCAGGGACCCCTCTTCTTTGGAACAGGGTGAGGGTGGGAAGCAGGGGCTCCTGGGTGGACATCCACCTGTCTCCAGGACGTGAGGCCAGCTGCTCTCCACCAACCAGTTGCTGCTGGCACCCTGGCTCACACCAGAGGAATGGGGTAGGAGGCACAGGCGCCCAGGCCACACATGCTCTTCCCATATTCAACAAGGAAGTACCCATTCTTCCCCAAGTCTATGCCCTAGTTTTCCACAGTCCAGTAGGGTGCCCGTGGTCTGTACCCAACAGCCAGTACCATATAGTTCACTTTATCTCGAGTTTTATGACAGGAAGTACTACAGTAGATTTCACTTTTGTATGACATGAAGTCTTCACTCACCTTGAAGGCAAAGCTCACAGGATTGTACAGGGCCACTGCCTCCACCATAGCCTCCTCATCAACATCTTTGGCAAACACAGTGGCCTTCTGGGGCTGGAACCTGCAGTGACCATCCTTGCCCTTACAGGGGTGGGTGTCTTTGCCCATGATGCTCTTGTACAGGATGAACTCGAAGGCCTGGCTGGGGGACCCCCTTGGAGCCGTGAATGTTGAAGTCCCGGGCACGGCCCAAGTGCTGCTGCCTTGCCAGAGACAGCCTTTTCCCACTAGTGATGGCCACATCTGAGTCCAGGCCTCCTGTGATGGAGAAGGTCCAGCAACTGCTGCATGCACCCTGAGTTTTCACCTCTGAGACAGAATTTCCTTTTTCCACCAGTCCATGGAGGCTGGGTTGGGATCAGTACCCCAAAAGTAGTTACTTTGGTGGCTGAGTAATTCTGGGGCTCTGACCAAAGATATTTACATTTTATTTCAGTAAAGCTCATGTCTGAAAATTGATTCAAAGCCATTTTAGATGTGTGGTTTTCCTTGTTGTGTGCATTGATCTTACTCCATTTGCTGGCAGGTATCTGCTGCCTGTGGTGGTACTCCTTTGTGATGTATTCTTTTTGATGTCACACCACCCATTACTTAAAGTGAAACTTCTCTAAGGTACTCAGTGGTGGCAGTGTGGCCCAGGGACACCAGCAGCCAAACGGTAGCAAAGCACAGGGGCAGTGCGTGCCTCATCGTGGCTGCTCTGCCTCTCATTTTGTCTTTCTGAGGAGAGTTGTTTGATATTCTCCCTTGAAAGTTTCATTGTGTATGTGTTAGACATAAGCTTATATGGACAAACTATGGTTTCCAAAGTGGGAGACAAGACATATTTTTTTATGTTTGCTGGGAAAGGAGAATCACTTTCATTTTACATTATATTTATTATTAAGCAGCCCTGTGGAAATGGATTTTCTGTTAAAACCTGCAATCACAGACTAATGGAGAAAAGAGGATGTATTAGCCACTAGATAAGGTTGCAGTCAATTTATATTTGTTTAATCAGTCCTGTGTTTCTTTCTCTGATAGTAATGAGTATGTTTCTTTCCAGAAATCAAAATCTATGTTAGTTTCTGTCTATTTATGGTGATCAAATGTTTGTGTTACTCGAGGTGAAATACCTCCATGACAAGTGCATGATGGGAAGGATACAGAAAATCAAATCCTCTGAATAAAAGTGCTGAAATTTCCCTCTTCTTGTTTGGCATGATTAAGAGATCCCTCATAATTTTATTACATGGAGTCATTTTCTGCTTTAGGAAGAAATGTTCTTTGCTGATAGATATCTCACTATATATAAATGTCATGTTAGCGTGGTTTCTCTTCGTGAAGAAATGTCAGAGAATCCCCAGTCTTAATAACTTCCTTCATTACAGAAGAGTAACAACTGGCAAAAGTTTCCAAAATGGTGGCTAAGACACAAAGCCTCTTCCCAATGCTTTCCTGAAAGAGGAAATTTTGGATTGCTGGAGGAAGAGTTTATTATTTATAGAGAAGCTAATTTCTTCAAAGTTTAGTTCAAATTCTAAATTTTGGTGTTAACTATGATTAGGGTCACAGATTCTGTGTTGCTAATGCCAGTTCTCGGCATGTAATAACTACTTAAAGCTAGATCTTACTGCTACCATTTTTAATCCTAGTATGGATATTTCAGTATTAGTTCAGAATAACTCCTTGGTTTTTATAATGAAAGGGAACCATATGAAGAAAATAATATATTTAATGAGGCTCTATTAAGGGTACAGGCTGTCTCATTAATTATTTTACTAATGCCTGGATTAAGTATTTTACATATACTATCAATTCAATTAACACACATTAACAAAAATTATTATTAATCCTATGAGGATTAATAATCACATCATGTAGTCATAGTACAAAGTTAGGCATTTCATCATCCAAAGATTGTAGATAATCAAGTTAAACTTGAATTAACTACCCAACTTACATAATTCTTAAGTGACAAATTTGGGAACTGAACCTGTTTTTGCCTCCAAAGTTCATTCTTAGGGCCTACCAGATCACATTATAATGACTCAGAAAATATGTGTGTAACTTAAATTTTATAGTACCAATACAGGAAGTTCATTGAAGTTGGACCCACAGCACCAGGGAATTATTATCCTTCAGAATCTTATTCTTTCCCCATTTATTTATTATGTACTTCCTGAGACTGTAGGCCTGTGTGTATAGTAAATTATGACAGAGACTAGCTTATCATTGGACAGACTTATCTCTATTTTTCCTAGGGAAAAAAAGACAAATAATTATTGCACAGTGATGTCTGTCTGTCTGTCTATCTATCTATCTAGGTGTATTTCCATTTATCTACAGCAGACTAATATCCCAAAACCTAGTGTCTCAAAACAATTTTATTATTGATAATGGTTCTTGAGGTATTGAACTCAGCTTTGGGTCCTTCACGTTTTTTCAGTCCAGTGGTAGTTAATACTATGGTCATATGAAGCCTTTTTATTTATACTTCTAGTTAATCGCATGGCTGAAATAGATGAGGATTAACCTGGAAGATATCTTCTTTCCCCACGTCAGTTCACATTGCTAGTTTGGATTCCTGATGATTTTTTCCCCTAATCAGTGGCTTCCCTTGGAGTAATACCCTAAAAAACAGAGTTAGAAGCTGCAAGGCTTTTTATGATTAACTCAGGAGTCACACAGTGGCACTTCAGCCCCATACTGTTGGCTGCAGGTAAGTTTCAAGTCTAGCTCACATTCAGTGAGGAGGGCTATGCAAAACCATGAATATCAAAAGGCATCAGAACTGTTTTGTAAGACTAGCTCTCATATATGTACCAGGTACTTTGAGAGCCTTAAAGAGTGTTGTGGTTTATATCTAAAATACCTTCCCAAAGCCTCATGTGTGGAGGGTGAATGGACCATGGGATGCTATGCTGTTTGTCAGTGGATTCCTTCTTTCCCAGTTATGTGCACTCTGTGATGCCATTTATGTTCCAGGGATCTCCATGAGTTCCGGCTGAAGCTAGAATTCAGTTGAATTGAAATGTTTGAGTAGCTTGTTGTTTTGCCTTAACTTACTGCTTTTAATCCTCTTCCATTCTCAGTAAATCACTGTACAAAAACCTCAAATTGCCAAGTCAATTTCTAGGAAACCTGACCTAAAATAGGTCTTTGAAAAGTGTACCTATCTATGGATAGGTCATTTGGAAGAAAAACAATATCTTAGGTGGTTTTATAAAATGAAAAGAAAATATTCTAACAAATAGCTCAGTCTTTTTGTAAGATGGAGCTATTGTGGTGATGGAACATTTAAGAGGGGTTGCAAAAATATAGTGTGTTGCAAGGACATGAACTTTGAATGCTAGAACAAGACTGCCTGACCTCAGCCCCATTCCATTATCTGCTAACTGAGTCATTTTGTGTGAGTTCATCTTTCTGTGACTCAGTTTTCTCATCAATAAAATGAAGAGAATTATACTCCCTATCAAGAACAATATTTTAAAGATTAAATGAATTATTATTGCTAAACTGTAAAAACAGCACTAGAATAGTTCTGTACATTATTCTCACTGCTGTGTTATTAGCATCTAGAATAGGCCCTGACACATATTAGATTCTTAATAAATATTTTTTAATGAATAGACAAAAAACAATTATAGCAACACACTGCCAGGATATTATGCAAAAGACATATTATAAAT